TCTCCCTTATTTCAGGTACCTGTTCTCATTCATCCAGAAAGACAGACAATGTGAGAGTCTGGTGGAGAAACTCTGCCACCGCTTCAGGGCAACTAAGTAAGTTTATACATGTACATGTAATTTTAATTTTATCTGCTTATACCATGACAAGTCAAAATCTTTTTGCTAGAAATCTTCTTGCTAGAAAAGTACTTTATCACTCTATTTGAGGTATTCATATTCTGAATAAATGAGTTCGTTTTTCTTCAAATAAGTGCTGACTTTTTATATGATGTGTTTTGTTTTTACAGGACTGACAGACAATGGCGTGATTTATCCTTCTGTCTGTCTATGATGTCGTACAGTGAGAAGTCTATCCGTAAGCTCCAGGAGAACTTTGCCTGTTTTGGGGATAAGTTGGCAGAAGAGGAGGTGTACAGCTGTTTCTGTACCATTATCAGTAAATCCAGGTCATTTGCTAAACCAACAGCCAAGGTAATTTTCTTTGATGTCCTAAAAAGTCTAACTACATGGTATTCTCAGTGCTTATTGAGATGGTACATATATCTTAAGTTCTAGTAAGCATATTTCAGCCTATCAAATATGTACTGTAAATGTATTATATTTAGAGTGTACGATATTTGGCGGAAATTGATTTTGGAATAGTGTAGCACATTTCTTCATATTCTTATTTTTGTGTATACATGTACATGCAAGACATTTAGCTATGTACTTGATTTAGCAGTTGCTGTGATCCGCCAAAGCCGCTAAAAAGAATACACAGCCAAACGTAGTATGTTTACAGTACCTTCCTTTTTCAATGAATTAAAAATCATACATAATCAGTATCAGCCCATTGGAAAAAGCCCTGTAGAATGTGTATTGATGTAGATATTCAGTATTTGATGTTATGATGTAGATAATTGATTTCGATCTGGTTGTTTTCAGACCTTGATTGATGAGCTGGAGCAGCGCCTCCAGCAGTGTCACACTAAGGGCCTAGAGGAGGGCGATATTGCTGTGAAGGCCAGTCAGGCCTCCCAGGCAGCCAGCCAGGCCAAGGGCAAGTCCAAAACTAAAGGAGCTAAAACCCCTGCCAAAGGCAAAACTCCTGGTAAGGTTTAACATAAATTTGTCTCCTTTACACTCCAGTAACTCAAACAAAACTTTAAAACATTCCTTAGTTACACTTGTGGCACAAAGGTTTATCTATAGATTTGCAGTTTGAGTCAATTTGTTGTATAATGATTTACAGCTCGTGGGAAGCGAGGGGGTCGTCGGCAGATAGATAGCGACAGTGACGGAGACTTTGTGGATGGGGATGAGAACACCACACCACCGAGACGCCAGACCAAAAGGAAATCAACTCGACAGAAACCCAAAGTCTCCTTTGACTCAGATTCCGATAGTGAAATAGAATTGTTTGACCTTGATAAATCCTCCCAAGGTCAGTGAGTATCTATTATTAGAATTATTCTCCAGTCTTCATTTTGATTTTTGTGCTGGATTGTTTGACTTGGCTTGAAATGTTTTGTGCTTTTTGTGTTATTTTTTTTATTTTTTTCATTTAAATTGCTGATTGTGACCATTTTCTTCTGATTTGAAATAATCACTAAAGGAAAGGCCACTTCTTTTGGGCATTGTAAAATATGGACAAATGCATTGCCATGCTACATGATAATCAAATGCTTCCTGGTTTCTGTAAGAGCAAACTGGCCTTCATTGTTGAAATGCCAAACCTGCTGAAATTATAGGAATCCATAGAAATGTTTGATGTTTTAATTCATATTGTAAGGAAATAAGTTATAAAATTTACAAGACCACACCAAATTTTACACACATTTACAGTTGAGTTTCAACCCTGTTATAATTTACACCAAAAGTGCCAGTCGGACAATAATATATATACACATGGAATGTATATTTATGCTTTACATGTAATAATACATAAATGTTTATGTTTTTATTGCTTAATTTTTTTGTAACAAGCAGATTGTTATATACTTATGTAAATGAATATTTATTCTTTACATGTATTCATGCTTTTAAATGTTTAATTTTTCTATTGCAAGCAGAATGTTTGTAAATGCAATGCATATAAGGTAAACCTTGGGTGTTGTGTATGCTTTCTTGTTTCTTATTCTTGTACATGTATATGACATGTTATTGTTTTGTCTGTTATGAGATGATTTCTACATGAATTAACAAACTGCTTGTTTACTAGGACTTTTGTAGACCTTAGTAGAATATAGCTTGTTTTGCACATGTATTTATTTGGTCATATTTGAACAAATACATTTTTTTAAAACTCCAAAACTAACATGATGTACATTTGACATATATGATGTCTTATATGTCACACAGTGTAGTACTACATTTTCATTTACTAATGATTAAGTGTTTTTTTTTTAAACTAATAATTTGAGAAATATGTGTCAAACAAGACTGCCATCTGAGCATGACATACTTGTTTTGGGTTAACACATTTATCATAATATCCTTTATATATTTTTTTTGAAATACATGATATTGATCCCTATTTTAAAAAAAAGATATTTGGTCTGGACTAAATAATTAAGTCTAATTTTCCTCACCTTATCAGTTGATTTTGTCCAATAGGCCAGGTCAAGAGTCTTAACAGATCTGACCTGGGGCCATAAGACGAGCTCACTTTTGATCTCAGTCTCACTTTCTCCAAAGAAATTTAAAACCTATTTTTTTACACAAAGTCGCATGCTTCTGGCATTTTCTATTTCAAAGTTGTGGAACCTGCAATATTCTATGACCTGCCATGTCATCTAAATTGAGGTCATAAGGTTTTATTTTATTAAATACATTTGTGTGAATCTCTGAAGATCACACAATTCCCCCCCCCCCCCCCCCCCCAAAAAAAAAAAACCCAAACATGGCAGATTTTCCTGTTAAATGTGTATAATACTTTATATTAAGAACTGGTGATCCAGTTTTATTCCACTTCTAAAGATATTTTCAAGTGTCAAAAATTGTAATTGTGTTGTTTATTAACACCCTCAGTGTTTAAGTCTTTCAAATTTTAAACAGTGTCTTTAGAGGTACTCATTCAAGTGTATCAGTCTTGTGTGCTGGACATTGCATATCCCCAAGACACAATGTCTGTGCCCACCATTCATGCATGTGCCCAGTAAAAAAATACTAAAAAGCATGGATAACATTAAGAATTTTTTATTGTAAAAATATATGTATTAGATCAATTTGAAGGCATTAAATTAAAATTAAAAACTGTGACTTCTTGAAATAATATTAAATAAAGAATTTTGTGATGCATGTATCTTACGGTATTGACCTTGGAGTTTGTTATTGAATTCTTTGAATTTCTATTTTTATCAGGGACCCAGGGAACGACAACGGGTGACGGCGAGGAATCTGACGACTCGGAAATCATACCCACAAAACGGACAGGGAGGCGTGTCCTTAACTCCCCACGGCGGGTCGTGCCTCTCCAGGACCTTAATGGGGACGTGTGACAGGGAGGAGACCCCGCCCACCTGATGATTATTGACCAACCAAAAGAGAGGAAAATAGCTACCTCTAACATTATCTCATTCTTACTAAGATATCAGTCATTTTTATCACAATAACTTAATACATGTATTAATAAACATGGTTTAAATATATCTGATTTTCAGTTATGTTTCTGTACAAGTTTATTTTGATTTTGGTTTTGGACAAAAATTATACAGGTTTGTTGTTTTGTAAAAGCAAACTGTGTCGTGTTATTGAAAATAAAAACAAAGTTTTACACAGTGGAGCATAAAGTACAAACTGTATACAGGGAAAATTTTCACCTTAAGTTTTTTTTTTTGACCAAGACAAAAGTGGGCAAATTTAAAATGGGTTGAATTCAACAGATATGCAACTGGATGAACTAAAAACGGTGCAGAATTGTTTTCAAGAGTGAAGGGTGAAAATAACCCTGCATATACGGTATATATGTTCAAACTTTAGATTTAAACTTTTAATGTAACATATACATGTACTTTGATATGTTCAGCAGTGAAAGAAAATCCATTCCACACTTAAAATCATAAAAAAGACATGTTCATCTGCAACTGACCCTTCAAATAATCAAACTTTTTCTGTAAGTTGGACCTAAAATGTTCCAATTTTGTTGTCTAATTAAATCCACAGGTACTTGTGAACAGGACCTACCCCCAGCCCCAAATATGTGATCCCTAGCTTGTTAATTTTTTTAAACAATTTTTATTTATTACACTTTCTATTCATTTCTACAATACGAAAAAATGAGTTAAAACTCCAAATAACCGTTCCATACAAAAATACCCCTCTCCCTTATGTACAAAGGTTTTTTTTTTTTGTACCGAACGGTTACATCTGAATAATGTATTTTATTCTATCTATTGCATGTTAAACACAAAATACACTACAGTACTTGTGTGATTTGATTATATGATATTTGAATCGTTAAAATTAATTTTTTGAACAGTCCTACAACAGTAGGTTGTCTATCAATAACTATTTATAGTTCGGTCAGCGGTCAGTTTTAATCAGATAACCGAAATAGCCACTGACGGGGGTACCAGTTACTGGACTGCTCATTACATGCGCATACCATACTGAATATTAATAATTATACGTCTAAATCAAATACACATGTATACTATCGTGTCTGAACGTTTAGTCGACATATTCTGCCTCATAGATGTAAACCAAAAGAGACGGGTGTCCGGTAGCAAGATTTTCTTGAATTGTTCTTTACGGGGTTATCAGTAATTATTATGAAGTCTAGAACCCATACGTCAATGAAACACCTAAACTACTCCCCTTCACAGGGATATTTAAGTCTAAGACATATGTTTATTGTCATTTTTACATAATTTAGATCAGTAATCAATATAATAAATGATATCAAAGAAACGGTAGGCTCCATTGTGGGGTAATGGTCGAACCATCTGGACCTGCAATCATAACCAAGTCTTTTTCTGATGGCTATTTTATGTAGGTCTGTCTTCATTGTACCCATTGTACGGATGGCTGTTGATAAAATGTTATTACCTGAAGGGTCTTATTCGGTGTTAAGTGAATGGTATTAAAAAGATGGACATTTCAATGTATTGACGGCGATTACAGAGATGCATAGGTGAAGGGAATAAAACGTAAAATGACTGGAGGAAAAGGGATTTTTAAGTACCTGAAGGTTTTGACGTTTACTTCCATGCTGTTTTTATTATGTAAGTAAACAAAAAGTTTATTTTATGACTTGAAATGAAAATTTGAAATATTATTTTTGTTTCTTTAAACAAGTCAAGTTGTTATTTAACATTCTTTTAGTATTTGGTGCGTTTAGTTTAGTTTAGAACTGCAATTTTAATAGAACAACAAACACATAATCGCTGTCCGCGAACATGTCAACGAAATTATAAATTTTGTCCAAAACCACGAGAGAGGGTGTTGCAGAAACTCGGATAATCCGATCATATAAGATAAGATGTAATTTAACATTTTCATATATTTCAGATATACTCTGTTTTGGAAATCTTGAAGTGAAAAGAGAGCCGAGGAACCCTGCTGTAAGAAGCACTACCCCACGTAGTTATGTATCAACAAATAACGGTAATTTTTACACCGTATCAATACTTGTATATGAGATAAGTTGAATGCGTTCTTGAAGTCGTCGGCGTGGCGCAGTGGTGAGAGCGTTTGCTCTAGAGACGTGAAGTCTAAGAGGTTGACCCTTAAGTGGAGGGTTCGAATCCAAAACAAGACGTATTTACCGAGGTCACAAGTCGAATTAAGCGCTGCATGGCAAAAAATTCTTTCACTGTGCAGAAGACCCTAAGTGCTGAGTACAGGTCTATATTGCAGCCCAAAACCGACAAGTATTGGTGTCTCAAATGTTATGAATGATAAATTCTCTATTAAGGGACGTTAAAAAAAATGAACAAACATTCAAACGAAAGCTCTAGTACTCTATCTCCGAGCTTTGAAGTTGTGATATTTTCCTCGTTTGAAACCATATCAGAAAATCTTGATTATTTTTCCCATACTAGAACAGTTTTCGGCATACCATTTAAAGTATTCCCATTTATACGTCCATTATTGTACCAGGAGAAGTCTGGTAGTTATACAATAAAACAGTCAAGCAACACAACTACCGGTACCCATCTAAAGAGATCCATACCAAAAGTCGTATGGTCCTCGAGTATCAGGTCACTAAGGAATAGCCAAAGGTTATTTTTTCTCTTCTTAATTTAATAAGAAATTTTTCTTTACTCTTTCAAGCTTAGTTAGTCATGCATTATACAGTCATTTAACCAGTAACGAATCGGTTTCTAGTTGCGTCTTACACACAACGCTCATCTTTGAATTTCCAAATTTTCTTTGTTGTTGATTAATTTGTATTTGTAAGGTTTTCAAATCGGTGATTCCAAAAATTCCAAATTATGAATGGTACAGGTACAGAGCTGTAAAAAATAACACCCCCTTATTTTCCTAGTTTCTAATCGATTTTTCAGTATCGAATCAAGTGCCCTCTATTGTAGCTGACTCAATAAATAAAATCGGTTGATCGAAATATTATTGTAGAAATATACCTTAAAAAAGATTCTACATAACGTATAAGTATTACTTGTTGATGTAAATGATTATTTTTCTAAAACTGAACAATATGAAAATGTAGTATTTTATGAGAAACTTTTAGTGACATGCGTTATTAAAATAAAATCAACCATCTCTGAGACATAACTATATATCATGGAATATTTTTGCTTGTAAATTGTTTTAATAGTATTTACACTTCGGTCAGCTTTTCGTGTTTTTTTTTTTTTTTGCACCCCTTAAAACGGCATTTTTCGTTCTTCGAAAATCCATGATTCGTTACTAAGAAAACAACACGTCGTCGCCTGAGAATTATAAGGTTCGATGTGCCAAAGTGGTCAAAATGAGTTATGCATATCGTTGGAATCTATCTCCCAATGAAAACCTTTTGTTTCTTTGGACAAAAATGAAGAAGATATTAACAGTAAATTTTGGTTCTATCTCCCTTTGATGCAAATTTATAAATATTAGAGAGTTCTATCTCCATAATGTTCAATCACAATTTTTACCTTTGGTCACATGATTTTATCATTTTTTATGGAAAACTTGATTGGGGAGGGGGGGGGGGGGGTCACTGTGAAGGTACTTAAACTTATTCATATTTACTCTAACATGTTTAAATTAATAATATGACAATAATAATCAAAGAAGTGTATTTCTGAATTCAGATTGAGAGTTTTATAATAGCGATTGCTGAATCATGGGATAATGGTCTGGTCACATTAGAATCATGAGTTTCTATCTGAAGCTATTGCCAATTTAGTGCAAAAGAACTGCACCTCTGGTCTCACAAAGTTAGTTTTGAAAGGCTTATATAATCACTTTTATGCAGCTTTCCTTTAAGAAATCCAGGCACACTGTATAATAAGTTTCAATTCATGACCAATTTAGCCCCACCTTGAGCGTAGGATACAAATGACATATGTTTTTTTAGCTCACCTCAACGAAGTTGGGGGAGCTTATGTAATACCCTCGGCGTCGGCGTCGGTGTCGGTGTCGGCGTTGGCGTCCCAGGTTAAGTTTTTTGGAGCAGTTTTCTTTTTAACTACTTCTATGTCCTATATGGATTAGACATGCATGGAGGATGGTTCTAGTGTGTTTCATTGCACCATTCAAAGTTTCAGATGCTGCAATTTCAGCAAAGGAATGACCAGGTTAATGTTTTTCGTGCAGGTTAACATTTTTGGTGCAGTTTTTGGTGTAGGTTTCATTTCCAAGTAACTATAAGCCCTATGTTGACCAAACTTGCATGGATGATACATCTAAGGATGCATACTATTGGGCTTGCTTCGGATGCTGAATCTGACCTACATTTTCCGGTTGAGTGAACAGGTTAAATTTTTTGGTGCAGGTTTCATTTCCAAGTAACTATAAGACCTATGTTGACCAAACTTGCATGGATGATACATCTAAGGATGCATACTATTGGGCTTGCTTCGGATGCTGAATCTGACCTACTTTTCTGGTTGAGTGAACAGGTTAAAGTTTTTGGTGCATGTTTCATTTCCAAGTAACTATAAGACCTATGTTGACCAAACTTGCATGGATGATACATCTAAGGATGCATACTATCGGGCTTGCTTCGGATGCTGAATCTGACCTACTTTTCCGGTTGAGTGAACAGGTTAAAATTTTTGGTGCAGGTTTCATTTCCAAGTAACTATAAGACCTATGTTGACCAAACTTGCATGGATGATACATCTAAGGATGCATACTATCGGGCTTGCTTCGGATGCTGAATCTGACCTACATTTTCCGGTTGAGTGAACAGGTTAAAGTTTTTGGTGCATGTTTCATTTCCAAGTAACTATAAGCCCTATATTGACCAAACTTGCATGGATGATACATCTAAGGATGCATACTACCAGGCTTGCTTCGGATGCTGAATCTGACCTACATTTTCCGGTTGAGTGAATAGGTTAAAGTTAATGCATGATTCATTTCCAAGTATCTATGATTCTTTAATGACCAAACTTGCATGGATAATACATATAAGGATGCATACTACCAGGCTTGCTTCAGATGCTGAATCTGACCTACTTTTTGTGGATGAGTAAAAATGTTAGTTTTTGATGCATGTTTCATTTCCAATTAACTATGAGCCCTATAATGAGCAAACTTGCATGGACTATAAATCTTAGGATGCAAACTAATGGACTTGCTTCAGATGCTGAATTCGACATGCATTTTTCAGATAATAGACCAGGTAAAAGTTATGGGTGCAAGTCTAATACCAAAAAACTATAAGGCTTACATAACATTGTATAAACCAAACTTGCACAAACGTTGCATCAAGAGATGAAAACTCTCAAATTTGCTTCAGATTCTGGATTTTGATTACATTTTCATGAAGAAGACCTAGTTTAAATTTTTTATGTAGGTATATTCAAAGTATCAGATCAAAATTGCTTAAATATTTTCATTTTTGGAATGTACACTTTTTGTTGGTTAATTGTGTGATTTTGCCTTACTTAAAGACAACATTCGTTGAGGTGAGCTCTGTAATCTCTGATTACCTATGTTTTAATTTTAAGAAAGGAATTAAGTACTTATTTTAATTAACAATTACCCAGATTGCAATTGAGACTAAATGCTGGTACCACGAGCCATAAATTTTACAGTTTTCGTTAAGGAAACTACATGTGCTATATTTTTTAGAGGGCTAAGTGTTTATTGAAATCATATAAAAAGTTGCCCGTTGATGTCCATCTTGTAATATATTTGCAATATATAACCAATGACAATGAATTGCTGTTCAGGAATATACTCGTAGAAACTGAAAATGTTTAACGGTTTATGTTTGATGGAGTTACGGACCAGAACAATGGAAACAGCTGCTAGCAAAACGCACCTGAGAATCTCAGGTGATTTTCTGTTAAAAAAATACTTTTTTATATTTTCAAAAAGGATCAGAGATTTTCTTTCTCCTTTTATTATGATTTCTTTTGCTAAAAATGATGTTTCTATACAATCAAAAATGCGCAATTGAAATTTATTGTAAAAAATTTAATTGAAAAATTAAAAGAAGACTTTTCTTTAAGGAAAGATTATTTGATTCTGAAGGGGCTGCCAGATTTTGGAAATAAATAAATTGTCCTCGAATAATTTGTAAATAAGTAATCTGTCCTTAGCTTAATCTGTCCTCCCCCGGGAATAAGAGTTCTGGACTTTTAGGTTTTTTATGCTTGTTAGATTTTTTTTCTGTGAAAAAGAAAACAAATAATCTGTCTTTGTTGTTATTGAAAATAGATAATCTGTACTTCACCGACATGGAAATAAATAATATGACTAGGTAAAATTTGCCAGCCCCCCCCCCTTCCCAGACTTAAATAGACGCCCTTTGCTATTTGTCCCCCGCTTGAAAAGTGGGGGATATTAATTTGGGTTTGTCCGTCCGTCCGTCCGTCCGTCCGTCCGTCCGTCTGTCCGTCCGTCCGTCCGTCCGTCTTTCTGTCTGTCTGTAACGCTTTCGTTTCCACACGATATCTCGAGAACCCTTTGAGCTTTTGCAATGAAATTTAGCATAGCAACTCCCTATGGACTAAAGAAGACCCCTATTGATTCTGAGGTCAAAAGGTCAAAGGTCAATGTCATAAATAAGCAAATTCTGTCTGTTAAAACGCTTTCGTTTCCACACGATATCTCTAGAACCATTTGAGCTATCGCAATGAAATTTTACATAACAACTCCCTGTGGCCTAAAGAAGACCCCTATTGATTTTGAGGTCAAAAGGTCAAAGTTCAAGGTCGTAAATTTATACATTCTGTCTGTGTGTAACACTATAATTTCCGGGCGATATTTCAAGAAGATTTTGAGCTTTTGCAATGTAATTTTATACCAAAACTCCCTAGGACGTCTCTCGCCCCTCTCAAAGTGCCCCGCCCCGTTTGTTTTATTAATATTTATAGTATTACATGTCGCTATTTTTAGCGCAGGGGCATGAGGAGAGTTATTGCGTATAAAACAGGTTCTCGGCGGACTTTATGTTCTTATTACATCTATTAGAACTGTTTAAT